TAGTGATGTTAATTTTAAAAAATTATGTGTGTGTGTATATATTGAATAATACAAAGAAAAAAGATGATGGCCTTGTTTGGTAAAATGGCTGTTAGCTGATAGCTGTTTGCTGTTAGCTGATTGTGTTAATTAGAGGGTATAAATAGTTGATAACATTAGCTGATTGTAGAAAAGTGTTTGGTAAATTAGCTGTTAGCTGATAGTTGTTTGGTATAATTTCTTTTCTCAAAAAGCTAATTGAAAAAGTTGCTAGGAGTAGCTTTTTTAATTTTAGCCTTTTGGAGTTGCAAAAAGCTAATTAACCAAACATTTATATTGATATTTTAACTAAATCAAACAATTAATAGTGATCAAATAAGCCAAAATTGGCCTATAGACCAATTTTTTACCAAAAAGGGCCGTAATCAATATAATCACAAAATAGTTGATTGGTCTAAAACAAATTAAAGAGGCCAATAAAACTCTGGTTAGGATTGGAACTTGTAATCTTGTGTTTACCAAGTCAACAGTCTTACTAGCTTGGTTGGACTTGCCTTATATATATATATATATATATATATATATATATATATATATATATATATATATATATATATATATATATATATATATATATATATATATATATATATATATATCTTTGTTTTTTTTGAGTGATGAGGAAACTCACAGTCACTACTCAAAGATGTGCACTAGATAAATTTTACCTTATTGTAACCCTAGCCGCCAGAAAAAAATCACAAAGAGATAAATTAGTCTAGATTGTTCATAGCTGACTGGCTCAAACAAAAGAATGTAACGTTTTCCCTATTATTATTATTATTATTATTATTATTATTATTATTATTATTATTATTATTATTATTATTATTATTATTATTATTATTATTATTATTATTATTATTATTATAACATTAGGATAAGTTATGATAATATTAAGTATTTGATATGTGGGTTTAGGACACCTAAAAACATACCATCACAATGATGGCCAGTAGTTATATAAGGTCACTAGTCCTCTGCTCACATTACATACTTCATACACCATCTAGAGAGAGTTGAGTAGAAGTGAGAGACACAACACCCGTGTAAACTCTGCAGCAATTCGAATCATTCAACCACCACTAATACAAGAACTATGATTGGAGGTTAGTGCGATCCTTTTGTCACACATTATTAATGCATGTGATTCATATTTACAAAGAAGTCTAAGTTGCTCCCATTAAAATAAAACGCATAACCTTATGATTATCAAGTCAATGGTCTAATAACGTCGTTGTTATATCATATTCTCTTACAAAGACAAGAGATGGAGGCGAGTGTGGTTGGAATGGCGAAAGTTATGTATGGTAGGCTAGCCTAAGAGATATGGCAAGGCTGGGACGTTAGTTATATAGATCAAATTCAGACCAAAGAAGCTTCTTTCACTACATTAATTGCGACATTGTCATATGTGCTGCTTCTCAAAGTTATCAAATCTTTCTTGACAAACCAACCTAACCAAACCACGTCCCTACCAACATCATCAACGTAACCTTTCAGCAATCAATAACTTCCGCCGAAAGGTCAACTCTGATGAATTATGAATATGTCTCTCTGGTCTACTTGCCAGTTGCCATGCCTTTCTGGGTATACTATATATTCACTATTTTATATATAATCATCCTTAGCTTCGTGCCGTCCCCTATCAGTTGTTAAATATAACGGCGTTGCATGTAATGCACTTGGCTCCACTTCACGTGTTACAATTAGTACGTGTCATACGGAATCGAATGTATTACAATATAATATCTCGTTCTCACAACCATTGACACAAATCATATATATCATATGACCATATTATTATTGACAATATCAATTTTCTTATATACTTACCGTAAATTATATATAAAATTACATTTCATGATACAAGATCATATATTATATATCTAAAATAATACAAAATAATTTTTTAAAAAAATTTACACTTGATGTAACAAGATTTTCTAGGTATGTGTCATGGATGTCACATGACAATGACCAAGACTAGAATTGGATCAAGAGTGTGATCTAAGCTGACTCAAGATACATATATGGAAGATGGTGGAAGCCGTCCGGCTAGTTTGCATGGGAGTAAGTCAGAGGCAAATGTTGTTAGAATAGGCTTATCTATCCTTGTCTAATTAATTTTTTGCTTTGATTTTTATGATCCTATTTGAAATAAGAATAAGAGTAATATAAGGCGTATAGTTCTCCTATAAACAGAGTCATCCGTACAATTATATATGTCATATTATCATGAGATCGAGGCTCAGTGGAGGCGGTGTTGACTCTTTGTGCTTCATCAATATGTTGAGAAAGTATAGATAAACAGATACTATAATGTAATAGAGTCAGTAGTACTAAAAAAATGTGTAAAAATGATATTGTGACTTTGTGAGATAAACTTTCATTTATTCTCTAAGAGAATCTAGTTTCACCAAATATTGTTAACCCCCCCCCCCCCCCCCCCTTCCCCTCCCAAGTTCACCTTTATACCTAAGTTCACCTCTAAGAGAATCTAGTATAGTGATTTTGCCATATTTGGCGCAGTATTGTTCTAATGGCAAAAATTGATGATTTTTTTTTTCTTATTTTGTACTTATTCTTTTTTATTAATTTCTTTTGTATTTGTTTTTTTGTTTAAGGTTATATTTACCTATTTTGTTAAATACTTAAATATAAATTGTATATTATTAAAAGTAAATTATTCCATTTGAAATATCTCATCAAGACTAATATTGAATATAAATTAATTAAAAAGTAAAGTACATAAAACATAATTTTAACAAAATTAAATTGTACTAAATATTATTATTTATACCACAAATTATATTGTATATTAAACTAATTAAATTCAAACTAATAAACTTTTAAATTTTGAGAAATTAAATTATTTTAGTATAGAATAACATTTAGTGTAATGAGAGACGAATAAAATTTGGTGTGAAAATATTCCTTTTGATGTGACATTTAATGTAAATTTTTGGTGTTTCGGGTTGGAGATGCTCTAGAGAAGGGCTTATATAGGCTTGATCAAGAGTTTATATTTTCTACTGGTAGGATGTGAAAAGTTTTAATATGTTCAAATTCTTTTAAATTATCCAATTAAACAAATTAGATAATGTGGCTTTAAAAAAAAATATCAATATTATATAAAATGTACAAATACGTAATTATAAATTTATAATTAGTCCATGCATATTCATGCTCTCAAGATATACTTAAAAAGATTCTAATATAGTATTGTCGAAGTTCAAAATAATCCTCTTCTAAATACAGTCCAATAATAATTAACATATCAATTTTGACATGTCAATAAATTTTCAGAGTCTCAAAGGCGTTCCAAAATCTTTAAAGAGTTTATGCTTTCAAATTCAAAATAATGGTTACAATCAGTATAGTATAAAATCATTTAGGTTACAATGAGTATTAATGCGAGTACAAAATATATTGATGTTCTCTTATTATTCAATTAATTGTCTTGTTGAAGGGCATCCGAACTCAAATGACTTATTCCTTAATGAAGGGTCTATATGTAGTTTAATCTCCATTGAAGGGCATTTGGTTACGACTCTCCATGGACCGCCAGATATAGGTTGTCTTATTGAAATTTTAATCGGCCGTGGTCCTTTTGGAGAATCATAGCTGGCTAAATTTTAAAAGTTAAACGATCTTAACTTATTATTAGACTGCAGAAGGTAACAATTTGAAAGTCGAATGACCACGAGTGGTCAATTTGAAAACTTATGACTAAACGTGACAAGGTCATTATATATATTCGGAGGACTTCATGTGACATTAACTCAATATATTATATATCTTACACATTAAAAATAATCCCCTTCCATGATGTCCAATAATTAACATATTAATTTTGATAGTCATCAAATTTTTTGTCTACAAATATGTTTTTCAAATTTTTGGAATGATATTTTGTTTGTGGAAAATGTTGTCCATGGATCTATCCTGATCCTGCTGGATGATACGCATGATAGATATAATGATGCGTGTTGGTGCATAGTGGAGTGTGCTACCCCATCTTTAATCATACCAATCATACTTATACTACTTGTGCCCTTTGACTCAATTTATGCTGCCATTATCCTCATCGATCTTTTGTCTCTATCCAATTTCTTTTTATATATATTAAATTTCCCAACTTAATTAAGACTAATTTTTAATCTCAAAATTTATATTCAAAAATCATTGAAAGAGGTAAATCGCACATTGTTTTATTAGTCCATCCCCAAATTTTTACTACTTATATATAATGAGTATTCATCACTTTTGATCTTGACAACTTACTATCAATAAAGCAAGGATTTAGAATGATCTATCGAATCAAGTCAATCAACTGAACTAGTCTGATCGTAAAAGGGTCTCTATCCATTTTTTTTTTATTTCAAATTTTCATCTTCTTAACTATATTCAAGACCTTATGAATCTGAAACACATGAAAAAAGTAAATCTTGAATTACTCAAATTATTTTATAATTTTTCACCACATGCACACTTCTGCAGTTTTTTTTTTTTTTTTTTTTTTTTCCTTTCATTGAAATCTATTTTTTTTCTATTTTTCTTTTAAATATGAAATTTATGTGAATGTGATAATATGAGCTAAACTTCAATAGAAAACATATTATCCAGATTTAAGAATATATATTGTCCATTAAAAAATGAGAAACAATTTATTAGGGATTAGATAGATCAGACCAAATGTACGATAAGAGAGCAATTCCTTACCTTGTACTCTGTCGGCTACGTCATCGAAACTCTTCCGCTGCTTCTCGAAGATATACGTACACACATATATATACTAATTCAACCATGAAAATTCATGTGGCCAACCTTTGGTTTTTAGTCCCCTTCTTAATAATTAAGTAATAAAAAAATGACCAAAAAAAAAAGAAAAAAAGAGTGAATTATATTATGAATACTTTAAATGCGACAGCTGCCTTCCTTCTCTGCCTATAAATTCATCACCAAACTGCAGTCCGTTCTTTAATTAGCAGATTAAAGGGTGAAAGTAGAGAAGAAAAAAGAAGAGAAGAAACCCAAAAAAGAGAGAAAAATAAAATGTCTAAAGTTACAAGCTTTTGCATGATCGCCTTCCTAGTACTTCTGTTGGCGGCGTCGCAGGTTGTTTCCCGGCCGGTCCCGGCCACCTTCTCCGACGTCACTCCGGTGGACACCAATCATGGGGTAAGTTCACTTCTCATTCATAGCTAAATATCAATGAAATCTTAGCTACTATACGTTTGAACGTCGCCATAGATTCGATTCTACCAATACCCAAACTTTTTTATATTAGTGTTACCTTGAGCAGCATATATAACTGGTTCTTTTAAATGGGAAGTCACACATTCGAACTCATAGACATTGACTTTTTGTGTTTCAGTAGGTTGAAAAAATATGTATTGATAAATACTACAATGTAACAGAGTTACTTTTACTCACAACATTGCTGAAAATTATGGAATTTCCGACCACCTTAAAGTAGATAATAAATCTAGTTGAAAGTCTTGTTCCGACCACTTTTAGTGTCCGGAAAAATCTTTGTTGCTATTTCTGACCACTTTTTGCTTTCGACTTGATTTAAGATCATTTTTAGGTAGTCGGAAATTCCATAATTTTCAACCGTGAAAAAAGTATTTAGGATTTTTAAAAAAAAAAATTATTTTTTATTAATTTTGTTAATGCATATTGAAATTTTAGGATAAGATGGCAGTGAGAGGAGGTGCGGAGGGAAACTGTGGAGGGGAAGGAGAAGAAGAATGCTTGATGAGAAAGACGATGGAGGCTCACATTGATTATATCTACACACAGAAGCAGAAGCAGCCATGATCAATCACATTCATTCTTAAATATATATATGAAAAATTGTATAATTTCGTGTGTTTTTTAAATTGTACCTTACTTTTTGTAAGTTACATTTTATGTTTGGTAAGTTGTACTTTTTATTTCATCTACTTTAGAGAAATTTAAAGTACAATTTTACAAACTCACACGATATTGTAAATTTTTTTTATATATATAAATGAAATTTCAAGTTTATTGTATTTGGTGCGTAGTATATATGTCTATGCAGGCAGGGGCGTCATGGGTTAATTAAGTATTTTCATTTTAAATGAATTATTATATGATTATATTTTCATATTAATTAAGAGCGAATTAAGATTTCAGGTACGAAGTTGGAAACTATAAAATTTTTGTATGGTTCTAATGTCATATCAGAGTAATGTATGTACTTATCATTTATTATTGTAGAAATTGATGAAATAAAGAAAAAGGTGTTGGTGTTATATCTCATCAGTGAAATAAGTATAGGAAGTTAAACACGAGTTTGACACATTATTCACGACTAACGTACAACTACTTCACGTTCAAGTTTTATGTGAAAGATATAAAAACTTTAGTATGTACTACGTCATACAATGTAACGTTGTATAATTAAAAATCAAAATAAGAAGATATTATGGAATAAATTTTCATTATATTTACTATGAATTAAACTAGTATATACAACCATATTAAACTAACTCTTGAGCGCAAAATCATTAAAATAATGGTACATTTACTAATCATAAAAATTCTTCATTTTTCACTGAGAAATGAAAAATTAAGGAACTTTAAAAAAAAAAAAACAAAACAATACATGTAGTTATACATTTCGCTAATTTGAAAAATGGAAAATGGAAAAATGAAAAATCAAAGAAATAAAAAATTATAGATATAAAAACTGAAAAATTGGAGTAAACATATAGCCTTAATTTCCCAGGTTCCAACTTCCAACTATACTACTCTTTGTCAGCTTATTTAGCAAATATTAGATTAAAACAAAATGACTTAAATGTCGGACCAGTAGATAGGGCAGTTGAAGCTCAAAGCCGAGAATCGAACCTGAATTATTTTTTTTTTAAGTGGGACGTGCGTTTTCAGTCAAAACGACGTCGTTTTGCATCGTATGCACCATGTGCATGGTGCATTCGGTTGCACAGCATAACTATTACCCATATTTACACACCTTGAGTTAATGGGTTAGCCCAACAACCTTAGCTTATTGGGCCTAGCCTACTAGGCTAGTAACGACGTCGTTTTGGCGTCTAACTTAAAAAAAAAAAAAAAATTAAAATCGCATAACTACACATCCATAACTTCATAACTACACATCCATAATTGCATAACTACACTTCCAGAATTGCATACCTACACTTCCAGAATTTCATAACTAAAAAATCCAAAATGAATGAACTAAAAATGAATAACATAATGTTGTTGCTGGGATCGAAACTGGTTTTTTTTTTTTTTTTTTTTTTTAAGTAGGGCGCGCGTTTTATGCAAAACGACGTCGTTTTGCATCAAAACGCGCGTTCTACTTAAAAAAATCAGTTTCGATTCCCAACAAAAATATTATGTTATTCATTTTTTAGTTCATTCATTCTGAACTTTTAGTTATGAAATTCTGGATGTATAGTTATGCAATTCTGGATGTGTAATTATGAAGTTATGGATATGTAGTTATACAATTCTGGATTTATAGTTATGAAGTTATGGATGTGTAGTTATGCAATTCTGGATGTATAGTTATGAAGTTATGGATGTGTAGTTATGCAATTCTGGATTTATAGTTATGAAATTATGGATGTGTAGTTATGTAATTCTGGATGTATAGTTATGAAATTCTGATTTTTTTTTTTTTTAAGTTAGACGTCAAAACGACGTCGTTTTTGCATCCGGATGCACCATGCATGGTGCATACGGATGCACAACATAACGATCCGCTAGTAACACCATGACACCAATTCTATTTTTCTTTTTTATACATTAATTTTCTCAACTTACGACAGATTAATTCTTCTCATCTCTTGCCTGTACACTCTTTATCACCTCTGATTAGTCGAGTTCTTTCAATGATCCCCATATTTCTAGTATGATTTGAATCCCTACATTGCTGCTCGAACAAGGCTTTAGTTTATTGGTCGAACCAACTAAGCTAGCGTTGTGAGGCCTAGCCAAGTAACATTATTTCAACATATAGAAACTTTTTAAAAATTTTCGCATTTCAGACATGTATTTATATTAAAAATTTTTATAAAATGTTTCAACACCATTTTTGTAATTAAAAATTTTCAAGACGTATTTTCTAAAAGAAAACATATTTCATGACACATTTTAGAGTAATCGTTTCAAAGAAATTGAGTCAATAGAGATGAGGGTTATTATCTTTACTCCAACCCCTATATACTCCTATATTTTTGTAGTGTTGTACCCCTATAGTGTATCATCACTTTCAATTCGAAACTTTTATATAATTAATATTTATGCATTTAAAAAATTGCAAATAATCCCTTATATCTTTTTTATTTACATGTCTCTCTTGCATTTCATGCCCTAGGTATTTTTTTAAAAAGATTATTGTTTTCTCATGTCTCTATTTCTTGTTTCTTGTTTGTGTTATCATAGTATATTGCATCTCAATATTTTGATTTTTATATTACTCCATACATTTTTAATACTACAATGATTCTTCTATATATTACACTGAAAATTATATCTCACGAGATGAGACTCTAATTTTTTTTTTTTTTTGAATGCTACTAGCTCTATTACAATGTAGTATCTGTTCATATACTTTCTCAACCTACTGAAACACAAAGAGCCAATAACGCCTCCACTGAGGCTCGAAATCACAATCTTCACAATCTTCCAAATGGAAGTCCAACCCGGATACCATTAGACCACATAGTATATCTCACGAGATGAGACTCTAATTTAATTAGATATTAATCCAACAAATTCATTGAATAACGTAACTTTCAAAAAAGTATTTTTGCATATTGTATAGCTATTGATATTTGATCCAAAAATATGGGCCAGATGGGCTAGCCCAACCAGCCTGGGTTCTTGGATAATAAACGAAATACTTCTCAAAAGTTGGAGAAAAATAAGTAATTAAAATTTTGGGAAAATGGCGAGTTTGGTCCCTGAGTTATAACGATAGTGACGACTCAGTCTCTGAGTTATGACCGTATTCATTTTTAGTCCCTCAATTATGAAAGAAGTGGCGTATTTGGTCCCCGGCCGTTAAAATTTACGGAAAAATTTAAAAAATATTTAAAATTTTAGATGTAAAGTAGGAAATTCACATTTTATTCACTTTCTTATATTGAAACCACTTTTGCAACATTATTTTCAACTTCCTAGCATTCTATTTCAAGGTTCTTCAATTTCAAAAAAAATCAATAATCTTCGTATGACTTGTTAGTAACCTGAGTCTCGTATAAGGAACTTGTGACTCAGTACAAACAAGAGAACACTTGATCATTGTCTTCAATCATGTAAAACACACAATCTGAAAAGTTTCTGATTTCACTTACTATACATAATGGTAATCAAACCATAATTTTTGAATACAAGAAGATATCAAAATTTTCAATATATTTTTATGACAAATTCACTAATGGCCCGTTTGGTTCACGGAATAGGCCGGAAATGGCATAGCATTCCCAGTAATAGGCCTATTCCTTTGTTTGGCAACCATTTCTATTACCAGGAATAATATTCCTGGTAATAGCCTATTACCTCAAATAAGGTAATAGCTATTACTAGGGCCCCCCTGGTATTAGCCTATTACTGAACCCTCAGGAATAGATTTTAGAATCTATTTTTCTTTTACCCCTTTCTTTAACCTAATTTTTTTTATCCTATATATAAATTTATCCTATTTCACCACCGTCGTCGGCTCGTCGCCACCACCATCACCGCCGCTGGCGCCGCCACCACCACCATCGCCACAACCGTCGCCGCCCCCACCACCACCCCAACACCACCACCACCACCCCCACCGCCATCGCCACCACCACCATCGCCACCACCACCACCGCCATCGCCGCCGCCACCACCACCACTGCCACAACCGTCACCGTCACTACCACCACCGCCACTACCACCACCGCCACCGCCACCACCACCACCACCACCACCACCACCACATATTTTTATAAGGGTATTTATGTCTTTTAAAACATATTTCATTTCTATTCCTTAAATCAACCAAACACTGTAATATAATTCCTAAAGTCTATTCCTTCCGCGAACCAAACAATAGAATACAATTCCTATTCTATTCATTGCCTATTCCATTCCTTATGGAATAGCATTCCTATATCTCAAAATTCATTCTGTGAACCAAACATGCTGTAAGGGAGTAACTTGAGATTTTTAGTACATAAAATTTTTTTGCAAGCTCTGCAATAACTTAATCAAGAATCGTATACCCTGACAATATATGAAAATTATATATATATATATATATATATATATATATATATATATATATATATATATATATATATATATATATATATATATATATATATATATATATATATCACCTCCTCTGTCTTCTTAAAAACCAGAGTAATGAATGTGGAACCTAAGACTCAGTTATGAAAATTCTAAAAAAAAATTATAACTTCTAAAAACGATTATTGACTAAATTACTGCATATGAAAAATTTTTACATACTAAAAAGTTATTCCGTTGGTGAATATCTCATAAAAGTAACCTAAAAAATTTGACATCATTTTGTATCTCAAAAATTCTGATATAGTGTGTTTCATACGTCTGAAGACAATGATCAAGTGTTTCTTTGTTTATGCTAAGTCTTAAGTTTGTTATACGAGAGTCAGGTTCCTAACAAGTTATACTAAAGTTATTGAAAAGCTTTTAGAATTGAACAATCTTGAAATAAGAGGCTAAGAAGTGAAAAATAATGTTGTGAAAGTGGTTTAGATATAAGAAGGAGAATAAAATATGAATTTCCTACTTTACCCCTCAAATTTTAAATATTTTTTAATTTTTTCGTCAGTTTTAACGGTCGGGGATCAAATGCGCCACTTCTTTCATAACTAAGGGACTAAAAATGAAAACGGCCATAACTCAGGGACTGAGTCTGAACTTGGGTATAACTCAGGGACAAAAGATGCAATTTTTCCTAAAATTTAATAGTACTAGCTATCAAATCATGAAAATATCTCAAAGAGAGTGTCCATTTTTTTTAATTAAAACGATGGATATATTAATGAGTAACAATTATATGCATCCACTATTGTAAAAATTGACCTAGGCGGCCATCTAGGCGCTAGGCGCTAGGCGCCCCTAAGCTGAGGGGAATTACCTCCTAGGCACCATCTAGATTCTAGGCGCTCGGTCATCTAGGCACCTAACTCGGTCAAGTTGGCCTTGCGATTTTTT